GTAGGTAGGTCGGTCGGTCGCTGGGCCTCGCCGCGGTGACTCAGGGCCGGGCCGCTGCCTGGAGCTGGGCCTGCCCGGCCGGTGGCGGAGACAGGGCTTGGGGAGAGGGGGCTGGCTTCCCTGCGAGGAGCCCCGGAGGGGGAGACACACCACGGCCTGGTGCCTGTGGCCGGAGCAGGGCCGGCTGGTGCCGCAAGTGGTGCGTGAGAGAGCCCGGGGCAGCCAGGCTTGGAGTGCCAGTGGTGTAAGGAAGCTTTGGCCAGGCACTGGGAGAGGAGCCTGCCTTAAGAAATCTGTGCTGGGGCTGCAGTCAGATTCCTTGCACCTAACTGTGGCTCTGAAGTCATGCCCTGCTGTCAGGTCATAGATGTGTAAGAGCGGTAGCATGAAGATTTTTGCAGAGCCGTTAAGTTTTTTGATGTCTCTAAATCTAGATGGTCACCAGGACAGAGGGTCAAATTGATGACTCTCTAATTGGTGGCAATGCCTCTGCTGAAGGTCCTGAGGGAGATGGAACAGAAGCCACGGTCATAACTGGTGTTGATATAGTAATAAACCACCACCTTCAGGAAACCAGCTTTACAAAAGAATCCTACAAGAAGTACATCAAGGACTATATGAAAGCGTAAGTGTTGGTAGCCTTTTTCTTTAAATGAGATTGCAAAATTGTTAGGTTGTTGGGATTTTAAAAACAGTGTTGAACTTTGTTCCTGGTTGGTGTGAGTTCTGATACAGGTGCCAGACTGGCTGTGAACTTCAGTAATATCTTCATACTTGGCAGAACTGGAGCTCTAAAGAATTGATACTGGAATATCTAAGTTTATCTTGGTTGGGGTAGAGGACCTGATCGTGTGCTTTGGGTATTTTTGTAACCTTGCTGTTTTCTTTCTGATTCCTCTATGCCAAGCCTTCATGGGAAAGGGGGTGGGGTAGTGAAGAAAGCTTCAGGAAGCTTTTCTAACTTGACAGTTAAAATGTTCAAATATAATGGCTGTGAATGGAACTTTTGCCTATTCAAGGTATAATTCATCTTGCTCAGTGTTGAGTGGGTTAGCCTTAAAGCTGAAAACACTTTCTTTGTGATACTGATGGATATTACTCTTGATGCTGTGGAAGTGGCTTGCTCATTTTTGTTCACCACTAGCCTAGAAGTAAAATGGGTTTGATGTAAGTGGCAGGCACTGTTCTGCTAATTCACAAGCAAAGTCAAGTTAAAATTGGAGGTCTTGGAGAGAGAGAGAGGGGTCAGTTTGACTACCAGTATCTCTTTCTGCTGTGATGTCATCTTGCACAGTGAAGTTATTGGGCCAGAACATGTTTTCAGAGCTTTTTTCCCTTCCAGAATCAAAGCCAGACTTGAGGAACACAAGCCAGAGAGAGTAAAGCCTTTCATGACAGGTGCTGCGGAACAAATCAAACACATCCTCGCTAACTTCAAAAACTACCAGGTAATGAAACTGGTATCTCCTCATAGCAGTATTGCAGTGATACAACCTGCCATTGGTTCATCTGCTGAACTAGCTTGTGGAGAGTTTCGAGGGTTCCTGTTGTGAGGACCTTCTCTAAGGGTATTAGGGGCTGTGAGAGTGGTGGAGGGGAAACAGCGAAAGATTTAGGTGTTTGGGGATCTCATTTCGGTTTGCAACACTCGTGGTTAACTACATTTGTAGTTACCACTGTTTAGGAACTAAATGAGGGTTAAAGACTTGAAAGATGGATCACTTTGGCCCCTGCTGTGTCTTACTGTGCTGTTTGTAGCAAGCAGTAAAGTTCTGTGGTAGTAAAATGACCAAGCTGCAGAAGCAAAGTTCCTGCAGCTGGTCAGGGAGACTTTTAAACCGAACTAGTAGATGTTACAGCTTTCTTGTATAAAAGACACTTTCTCCCAGTAGCTGCTCATTAAATGTCTCAGTAACACTTTTCTCTGAAGTTCTTTGTAGGAGAGAACATGAATCCAGACGGCATGGTGGCTCTCCTGGATTTCCGTGAGGATGGTGTGACCCCATATATGATTTTCTTTAAGGACGGCTTAGAAATTGAGAAGTGTGTAAGTACTGGCCTGGGCTGGATGAATGTGCTGAGCTGCCTGATCTGCTCTGTCCTGTCCCTCCCTGTTAAAGCTGAGCAGTACCTGCCAGTTTAAGAACTCCAGGTTCATGTAAGCGTGGCCTGATTGCCACTTTGTGTTATGCAAGGTGGCAGGAACGTCCCTTGGGTAGCGTTGACTCATGCTCGGAGGCGACGGAGTTTCACTGCGGTGATTCACTGTGACGTAATGGCTGAGAAATGCAGAAGGAATTGCCCTGGTGGGATGTGTGTAATTGGTAATGGGTTTAAACTATTAGATGAAAGACATTGTCCTCTGCAACGGAGCACTTCTGCTTTGGATCCCTCTTGTGGGTGTTAATTCCGAAGTACCTTGCATGGTCACGTTTCATCTTCTTCCACTTAATCTGATGCCCTTATTTTGTTGTGCAAGAACCATCTGTTAAAATACTGCCCTAAATGTGGGAACTTGGTAATACTTGACCAAGTACTTAACCTTATTCCGTCTGGAATCTCTTAACTGCCTGAGCTCAGGTGGCTCCTGTGGTCTGCTTTCTCTTCAGTTACTCTGCATTGCAACGTGGTTGCAACAAAACAGTATTTGGGTCCCACCACTTGCATTTTTTGGCTGTGGGATTCAGTGCCGACCAGCAGAGTGGGATCACCAATTGCTTTGCCCAGTTATTGTGGACTTACAAAGCCTGTTTATAGCCAGCTAAATTTATCTGGGAAGCCTCTTACAGGCGTTTTAACATGCAAGTCATGTAAAGATGAACCACCTTCTAGTGTGGAGCAGTAGCCCAACTAGAGGAACACTTACTGTCCCAGACCCACCACCTCCTGCAGCTTGACTGAAGGGTGGTGAAGGTCTGTCCTGGACCCTAGAATAGGCAGTCACCGGGAAGGTACCTCTGAGCAGAAGCTCACATGTATCTCCTGGACTTGGGCAGACCTTCTGGATGTATCATTTGGATAACCCCATCTGCTTCAAGATGGGGGTAAAAGAATAGTAGCAAGGCGTTGCAGTGGGCAAAAAATCCTGTGCTGGCTTGGTACAGCTCTTGTAAGAGACGGCACCTACAGCGTGGGCTTTAGGACTTGTTTAGGACGTGCTCTTATTTGAGAGGAAATCTGAAACTGAAGGGAGTGACTGGGTATCTTGCCTGGCTTACTCAGCAGCTGATGCCAGTTGCTCTGTGTGGTTGTAGAAATGCTCAGCATCTTCTGATAGACCATGAGCACTTGTCCTGTTGCTCTCTGGTTTGCACTACGATGCAAAAATAACTTCCTAGCGCTTCCTGCCTGCCTGGCTGTGGCAGCTCAGATTGAAATGGGGAATACACAAGTATGGCACAGAAACTTACCCTGACTGTCGTGACCTGGAGCTGACACTTGCTGCTCTCGTTTCAGTAACAAATCAAACAGTATGGTTTTGGATCACCTGTCTTCATAGCTGGCTGCTGTTTCTTCTTCATCGGCACAACACCAGGAATTGGCGATGTCTAACAACTGGACTGATGTCATCTTGAGCTTTATTCACTTATTTTGACCTTGATTTGGAGTGGAGGCATTGTTTTAAAAAGAAAAAAAAAAAACCAACCCCAAACATCTGTCATGTAGATTGTCTAAAATAAAACTCATTTAAACCCACTCTAGGCGATGCCTTTTGGTCTGGTGTGTTTCTTAGGGTGCCTGGCAGGAGAGGTTGCAGCGAGATAGATGTTCATCCAGGGATTTGGTGCTGCCAGTAGTATAGCCTGGTCCTAGCGCACTACGACTTGACTGTCTCTGGACAGATCTCATGCAGTTTCTACCTGTGACATTGGCATGCAAGAGCAGGCTGAGGGCAATAAGGCAAAGCTCAAGAAATATTGTGGTGGAGTGGACCTTCTGCATCTCTCGTGCTGATAGACCTCTGTCTCTGGAAGGTGCCAAAATTAATTTAAAAACCCCGAGAGAATGGTGTATGTGCTAGTCCTGCTGAGTGCTGGCTCAGCTGCTTTGTCAGAGGAGGACACTGGAGTGTGTTCTCAGTTGTAGTAGACTTCAAGCTTAAGGTTGGAGGATGAATGGAGCACTAGTTGAACACCAGGGCTCTGTCTGAGCCCAGGTGCTGGGAACACTGTGGGGAGGGGGTGAAGTTACTAGGTTTTCTAACACAGCCTGGTTGTGGTATTAGATCCTCTGTGTCTCACAGCTACTGGGGAGCACATTAACTAGAACTCAGTCAAGTTACAGGATTTTGGGTTTTTCTGTACTTGCCTTTTTGGGGAGAGACTTGTTGGAATGGCCTAGGTGTGTCCTGGGCTTGTGACAGAGCAGGTGTGTGTCTGTTCTTGACTTACCTGACTGTGACTTCTGTTCCTGGTTAGGAAATGCATCTGTGACAGACCTGGAGCAAATGGCCATTGCTCCTCTGGTTCTTGCTGAGATGCAACAGTAAGAGGCTCCTTGCGCTTTCTACCTGTCTGCCCCGGTGGCAGCGTGGATTGAATAAGGGAACACAGACACCTTCACGGATCCCCAGCTGGGGAGAGGGGGCTGGTGGTGCTGCTACAGCAGCCCTGTGTGTGCCTGACCAGGGGTGGTGCCTGGGGCTGCAGGTCATTGACTGCTACACAGGAGGCTATGGTGGCTGGAGGGGGAGGGCATGTCCCACCTGCCAGCTGTTGATCTGTCAGGCCTCCACTTGGGCAGAGCTTTGGCAGCTTTGCTCTCTGCTGTCAGGCTTTGGCCCCTGGTGCCAGAGGTGGAGGTTGGTTTCTGCAGGGGCAAGATAGAAGTGGCCGTGGGCTGGGAGGAGGGAGATACCGTCTGTGGAGGTGGGAGCAGAGCATGCCCTAGTTATCTTGGAGGTTCTTGTCTGCTTTAAACAAACACCCTATTTTAATTCTGTGGGAACTTCATTTGCATACTTCATTCTTTAGCTTTCCCAAGAAAGTCTTGGGCCAGCTGTGCTTCTGGCTGAGGTACAACTTCAGTGTCATCTGAGCAATGTAAAGTAATCCTCCTCTGCTTTCACCCAACAGGGCTGAGAAGCAGGGAGGCAGGTTCAAAGCCTAAATAAAATCATTGTGAGACAGATCTCCCTCTCCATGCCATGGAGGGAACATGTGGTGTGCTGAGAGAGGTGCTGGATACCCCTATCACCCCCTCATTAGGTACCTGGCCAAGCCAGCCTGGCTCCATCCCTTGGCTTTGGAGGGATGTGGGTGATGGGACCTGGGTGGGTGACAGTTCTGGAGCTTTGTGCTGAAGCTGAGGGCTACACAAGGCAGGAAAACCTGCAAAGAGAAAATTTTGGTGGATATAGGGAAGAGAATTTGGTTTGTTATGAGTTTTTTTTCCCATGGTTTATCTCAAGGCCATGAGTGACTTACTGTAAGCTTAGGATGTGGTTGTTAGAGAAGTAAAATGAGATTATTTTTTTTTTTTAAAAATGTAGAAAAAATAAAGCTACAATTTACTTCCTTCCCTGCCAACTCGCTGCAGTCCTGGCAGTGTTTTTCAGCAACAGCCATCTAGGGAGGATGCTTTTATTAAACAGCACTACTACCCTGGCGTTCTCACATGCTGCTGCTGGGTTGGAGCAGGTAAGATGCCCCCCTCTGCTCCCCTGGGCCTCCGGCTGCGCTTCAGCTCTGCAGCTGGTTCCCTGGGCTGCAGCTGCCGTTGTAAGCCAGGACGGTTTACCCTGCGCCAGCCGGCGAGTGAACCTGGCATCGCTGCCAGCCCGCAGCGGGAGAGCAGCAGTTAAACACCATCTCCATTTTGCTCAGAGATAAATGTCTCGGTAGAAGGGGGAAAAAAAAATCCACCCCAGACTGAAAATCTTTGCCACAAAGAGCCCAAAAGCCATTGCCAGGAGCGCAGCTGTGCTGGTTTGTGGTCCCTCTGCCTTGGCTGCCTGTTGGTTTGAAGCCGCAGCTGGAAGCTGTTGTGCAAAGATTGCAGCCAAGTGGCTGTGGCCAGGGCTGGGGGCCTGGGGGAGCTGGGTTTTGTTGCCAGCAACTGCTGGTGACCCTGGAAGTGTGTTATGCAGGAGCATGGCAGGATGTTGAGGACACACATAGCTGCTGGTTGTTTTCAGCCATTAGAGCTGCAGTCATCACCTTCCACTTCTGGCAGAAAGGAGCCAAAAAGCCCTTAAGCTGACGCTAGGAGGCCTTTTTAGGCTATTTTGGTGTGTGATACCAACCTCCCCAGCGAGGCAATGGCTGAGCATGGTGAGAAAAATGAGGAGCCATCATTTTCTCCACAGCCCTCTTGTTATCCGGGGAGCCAACTGTTTGGATTCACCTCCCTGCCTGTGACCAGCAGCAGTGGGAGGAAGCACTGCTGGCATTTTGGAGAGCAGCCCCTTTCCTCCCATCCCCAGCAAGGCATGGGCACGCCGGCAGCCCTGCCAAAGCAATGCAGGTGTTTGATTTTTTATAGAAAATGTCCCAAAAATTTGATGCCCAAAGAGTATTTAAGAATTAATTTTCCAAATTCTTTTTAATCGAGAAGTTGAGAAAAGGCCGTGTAAAGCTGGCTGCTCCCTGCCTGAGGGAGGGAGCAGTGGATCACCTCCATCACTGTGGATGCTCAGCTAGCAAAGCCCCACTGTTGCTACTGGAATAGTTTGGTTCAAGGGCTGAGGTTCATCTCCTCTACCTACAGCTGTGCCTGCACCTGAGCTGGGCGCCCCTGATACCTCCAGTCCAGGCAGGGAGAGATTATTTCTCTGCTCCCTGCAGCCATGTGGTTGCTGTGGGCTGCAGCCATGAAACTGCCTGCAGGTGCTGGCACTCGATCAAGCTGCCTATAAAAGGCATTTAAGGGGCTGGTGCAGCCCTGCACCCATCGGCTTTGGCTGTCCCAGCCCGGGGGCTGCCTCCTGCCAGCATGTGCTGTCCAGTCCACCTGCTGTGGTGGGGCTGAGTGCTTTGACCCCTATAAACCCACCTGATTTTTAAGCTCAAGGGGCAAGAGAGCAGCTGCCCACAAGTAGAAGGGTTTTGTGTTCAAGGCCACCTTGCTCACTGCAGGCCAGGCAGGAGGAAAACCCCATGGCTGGTGGAGCCCACACAGACACAGCCCTTGCTGCTTGCAGCCTCTCCCATTACTGGAGTATAAATAGCATCTTCCCCAGGGCTGGTCTTAGCTGGGTGGTGGAGGGAGGCTTTTCAGGAATCCACACTGGGTTTTATGTGAGCCTCTCTGGAAAAAAAAAAAGACCTTAAATTAGACGTGTGAAGCCCAGAGCAGGTCAGTCTCATTTCCCTCCCCCAGTGCTGTCAACCCTCCCATCACTGACTGGTGAGGGCAGCTGAGGAAAGACTCCGTTGTTTCCTTGGTTGCTTTTAATCAAGGCTTTGCCCTTGCCTGTTCTTCTGGTCCTCAGTACTTGGTTATCTGTCTCACAGCTGCTGAAAGCCTTCCCTGCCTCCTGGAGGTGCTCAGGTCCCTGTGGAAATCCCACTCTCAAAAATGAGCTTCAGAAATAAAACTAGTTAATGGAGTAGGGATGAAAAGAAACAGTCACTCCCTTCCTTTCAAGATTGAAAGCCAAATACTGCAGCTCCACCCTTCATCCATTTATTTGCTTATAACTGCAGACCCACCAGCTGCAAAAGCCCAAATCCTCATGTGACACCATCATGAGTAGGAAGCCCCTCTCAGCTGGCTGCACTCCTCCAAAGGACACATTTTGGCTGAGGTAATCCTAAAACCAGCATGACCACTACCAAGCAGCTCCTTGTGCTGAGATTTACTGAGCTGGGAAGGAGAACAGGGTTGCTCTAAGTTCAGCTGCAGTGCTTGAATCTCACTCATCACACAAGCTCTGGGTGTGGTTAGCTGAAGAGATGCTCAATGGCACCCGTGTTCATTGTCCCCTCTGGCTAACAAGTGCCTGGTGCTCCCCATCCAAAGATATTTGCCAATTCCCTATTCCAAATTGCCAAAAACTCCACAATTTTTGTATTTGATGAGAGCTGAAGGTGGAAGAGTTTGACCTGCTTGAGCCAAACTAGATGTGAACCTTAGGGCACCTGCTGTAGCACCAGGTGCTGAGCCCTTCTGGAAAAGGGCCTTTTTTGATCTTTTGAGTTTGTCATCCATAATTAAACACTCTCACAGCCTGGTAGCCACACACAGTCTTGCTTAGGAGAGCCAAGAAAGAGTCCTCCAGTCCTGCTACCAGTATGAGAAATGGGGCAGGTTGTACCCAGCCACAGCTCTTTGAAAAGCTGAAGAAGCAGAGCTATTTTCCAGGTGAGCAGCAGCTCAGCTCCGATACTGCGTTAGTGAGAAAAACAATTTATTAGGAGTCAATAAATACAGTGACTAACGAAAAATGCTGTCCTGGCGACAGGGACACGAGAATGTGGGTGAACACAGCTACACATGTGGGAGGTATGTTCAGCTGGAGCCAACTCCAAGCAGCTGGTGAAGACAATACGTAGCTGACTCAAAGCATGGCCGACTTTTAGGGAGCATCCACTGGGATCAAAGCAGCTAGTGAGCACTGATCCCACTAGGAGCTCTGTGTCAAAGATGTGGTATTGGTGGCAGAGGTCTTGCAGCCACATCAGTTCTTGCTGGTCCACAGCTAATATTCACGGTTGGTGCTTTCTGCCCCCATTCCTGGAGCAGCCCTGCCTGTCCCACCAGCAGCCTCTGGGCTGGCTGCAGGCAGGGCTGCAGAGGAGGCAGGCAGATGTTCAGAGCTGTGCGCTGCTGGGGAGGGAAGCAGGGCAGCACTGGGGCCAGCCTCTCCCATGCTGTGTTCAAATCCACCCTCCCTTCCCCAGGGAGCAGTGGCAGCCTCCAGGCTCACACCTTCTCACCCACTCCCAGCCCACTGGCACTGGGATGTCTCTGCTGGGGCAGCTGCATCGCTGCCGCCTTGCAGCAGCTCTGGCCCATGCCTGTACCAACGGGGCCTACAGAGGATAAAACTGCTGATGACTCAAAGAACTGGTCCTTCGGGAGAAGTCATGCTAGAAAGTAGACACGCTTTTATTCTCTAATGGCATTTAGCACATTGATACTTCTGCTTGTGCCTATGGGACTTGCTCATGGACCCATGTCTTGAGCACTGATAGTCAAGAACATCTGCAAGAGAGGAGTTCAGCAGCACGCAGAGACAGCATGGGAAGACCAGCAGGGAATCGGTGTCCATCACTGCTGCAAGTTCAAATTAATCCAAACGTGAGGGCTGGGGAATCAGACTTGAACGCCCACAAGCCTCCTCCTCCTCCTCTCTTTCAGCAGATGGCAATCCTGCTCACTGCACTTGTGTAAGGTCCCCTTGCAGAACAAGTGGAACGGAGCTGGAGAGTTTTTGCTGGTTATTACGTGCTGGATGCCAATGAGGCCGCCCCAAATGCTAAATCATTATTGCAGCCTTGCACGAAGTTAGACACGTCCTGCAGCACCTCGAGTTATTGCAGAAGGGAGAGACTCTGGAGCCCACAGCCGCCTGTCTACCCTGCTGCTTCTGTCTCTAGGGTGGCTTCTGCT